CTCTCTCTCTCTCTCTCTCAAAAATAAACATTAAAAAAATGAATAAATGTTTAAAAGTATTTTTAAAAATAAAATAAAAACAGTATTACATAAGAAAGAATGCAGGCAGGAACTTGGTGGGTAAGTAACAAATACAGTCTTTCCAATTGTCAATATATAACTTCCTACATTTGTTAATTTTTAATCATTTGAAATATATTAGGTATTGAAAACTAATCTAACTAGTTTTAAATCTCCTCTCTTGAGATTATAAATAAATCTCAAGTTCAATGGAAAACAATCACTTTTAGTTAAAATATACTGAAAATTAATGTGCTAATAAAAAGCAAAAAAAGGTTCCTAAAAGAATTCCTGGTCACTCTCTCAATACCATAGTATATCATAATCATAAATCATTTGCCTATAATTTTATTCAGAATACCCAGCTAGGCAATGAGTGACATTTTCCCTACCTCATAACTTTTACAACCTATTGTCAAGATAATTAAAATATAGTTACAAACAAACAACAATTTAAGGCAGAAAGGCCTAACACTAAACAAGTGATACAAACAATATATGTTCCAACTGATTCAAACGAATGATCACAAAATGCAAATAAATTAAGATTTCATGTAAGATGTGGGAATTAGATAAGTAGAAAGAAAAGAAGACTAGTCCAGGAAAGTGAATTGCTGTAACAAAGATGCCAACAGAGGAAAAAAAAAAAAAAAAAAAAAAAAACAACACTAAGTATGCTTAAGGATACTGACTACACTAGTTTGACTGAAACAAGAGACTGGTAAAGGTAACAGTGAGAGAAAAAGAAGTCTAATAACTAAAGTAATACTTGATATTTGTATAATATCTCACTTATATTACCTCATTTGATCACCAAAACAACCATATGAGAAAGGGTGGATGGCAGAGTGCCCTGAATATCAGGTATTAAATATCTAGCAGCAGCATCTAAGAGGGACTACTCCATCCATTAGAGGATAAAGAAGAAACTGGAGGCAAGAAGACTGGTTATGAAAGATGCAGTCTAAAGTTAATAAGGATGCAGGTTAAAGTGATAACAGTGAAAAC